ACTGGATTAAAATTAAAATTTGGTTATCTATCTAAAATTATTTCTTTTTTAAACCTGAAATTTCCAAAACATGAACATTTTCGTCATTTGAAGCACTTTTGTAACTGGAAGTATATGTCTACGTTCAACGATTACGAAAATAAAGGCTGCGCTAGAAATTGTGAACCGGATATATGTATATAAATATATACTCCTTTGGTATTACTGGATTACAAGTACTGCCGATTAGAACAAGAAAGGGAGGTGCACAACTAGATGTTATAGCAGTCCCATATACAAAATTTCATTGTTCAACGGCTATACGTAGCGATTGTCAAACAATAATCTTCCGCCCTTGTTTGGCCACGTATTGATCTTTAGATCTGTATAATAAGCTTCGGAGGCCCGAGGCAACCTCACGGGGGCCCCTAGGAAGTTGTTGTTCCTAGATAGGAGAGGGCGTGGGACACATGGCTGTTTACCTATGTTAAACACCAGGAGTCCCCGTCCTCCATCACCTGTTCTACGGCTAACCGTTTTTTGGACTTATGCAAAATATATTCGCACATATGTACATATCCATTTTACAATCCGTTTTGAAATAAAGAGTCCTTTATTCTGTCCTTACGGACAGATGTAACGCAAAAAATAGTCAAAATGGATTTGGAAGTGGTCAAAATGGATATTTCCGCTGAAATCTGGAATCTGTTATGTCGCGAATTTTAATTATTAATATGTGTTTTAAGTTATTATTATTCTAATATTTTTATTTGTATTCATGTATATTTTAATCTGAAAAAAATATTTTTAAATTGTTAAAGTCTTATTTAACTGGTAGTTCTTGAAAGTAGTGTAACACCGACAGGAAACGGTTGCAAGAACCATCTGGTTTATTGGTTTATGGCCTTTTTACTAACATTGGAGGCAGTAGGGTGTTCTGTTGTCGCCTTTACTACAACGAAAATCGTCTTGCCTTCGCTTTGTTAAAGTTGCAGTTTTGCTTACTTCAAGACAGTGGGGGGTGTATTAAGTTTAAGTAATTGGATTCTCGTAAAGCTTAGTTCCGTTTGTTAGTTGGGGGGATCCCATTTTGTTTTCTCACGTTGTGTGTACAGATGTTTTTGGACTGCAATGTCAGATTTCTGGTGTTTGATTCGTCATGGGTGTGTCATTTTCTCAGTTTAGATAACGTAAAATTACGGCATTGGTGTGATTTTTAATTTTATGATTTTTAAAGCCTATGAACTTACAGAGGCGGAGAAACAGAGATTTCCTGGGTGCTTGCACCAGGCTAGAGTTCATTATTCTGATTTTGATTTTCAAGCTAAGAGAAAGAGTGGGGGCTTCATCCTTGCGGGTCTTGCTCTCGCGAGAGCCGGCTATTGTGTTGGTTTTGGAGTCTGATTTGAGTCGTGCGATGTAAAGTTAAGCTGAAAAAAAAAAGATGGGAAGTTTGCCCTGTTGCGGTCTTGCCTTGCAGCGAGCGGCGTGTACCAGCGGGCGGCGGCTATGGATTCCCGGCTTTGATCAGATGAGAAATTACATTAAAAAAAAGCTCTAGAGCTCATCGCAAAAATTTACAGCATCGTCGTTTCTCCATTATAATTTTCTGAGAATTGTAAATAGGTATTCTCAGGGTGATGCAGATACCAGTGGGTTTCTTGCTTATCCTGCCCAGTGCCTTTCCAGTTTGGGTCATTTCAAGGCGTTTTTCCTGGTTTTTTGAAGCGTTCCTGATAAAGACTGTTCCGGATTGAAAAGAAGCATCCCGATACCTGTGTCTTCCTTGGGTCTAGAATTTGTTGAAGCGTTACTGTTCCTGATTAAAAGAAAGGCTGCCTGATACCAGTATTTTCCTGGGATTTTGACTTGATTGAAGTGTTTCTGAATGCAGTGTGTATCATTTACCTGCATCCGGCAAACAGCACGATTTGGGTTTTGTGGATTTCTTCGAATGGTCAGCGAAATGTTGAACTATTAACACTCCGTATTAATCAGTCAACGAAATAAGCAGGACAATCTTTGAACTATTTAAAACTCCGTATTTATCCGTCGATGATGGCACACACGAGAATATAGGAGTTTGATGTATAAACTTCACCCTGTGAGTGATTTTTGTTTTGTTTTGTCTTTTCTATTTAAACTGTAACCGAGTAATGATACTTGCATTAATATACGTGTAAACGAAGTGAATAGAAGAATTAAATAATGAGTAGTTATATTAATGTACTTGAAAACGAAATGATTTGAAGATTTAAGTAATGACAAGTTATTTAAATATACCTGTAAACGAATGATTAGAAAATTGGTACAACCACCTAAATTGCGAGTTATGTAAAATGATATATATGTTAATTTACATCTTAAGGTTAATTTGTAAGGGACTGATCAGTTTACCTAGTTATCATATGTTTGAATATTCTAGAAATTAATAAATGTGTTTGATATATATTTTATGTTTCATTTGTTTAATTTAGTGTATAATTTACTGTGGTCTGTCATGTCCCTACATTTGTTTGAGCCGGGAGGCTTTTAAGAAACATAGAGTTTTATTGAATTTAGGTTACTGATTTTCTTTAGTGGGCTTCACAACGCGCCCTATTGTACTAAACCAATACCACTATACGATTAATAGATATGATAGAGAATTGTTTATTCGATTGATCTTTTGATATATTATGAATTAGATTTGTGTTGATTATGTTTGAATTTTTTTGTTAGTTTGTCCGGCACCATAAGTTGAGTCAAAGTTAAGGGTTAAAAAAGTAATTAAAACATTGCCAAATTTTTAGATACATAACAAATCCGAATTTTTTTTGCGATTACAATACTTCCTTTAGTTCTCACAAGTATGTAAAAATTATTCGGAAAAAAAATACTTCCTTTTTTTGAAGAATAAATGTACAAAATTCTTATATATAGGCACTTACAGAAAGCGGTTTCAAGCTTCGTTTCCTTAACTATTAATCCAACCATGCATTTCGGATAATAAGGAATGTTATTTGAAAACGTATTAGATAGGCTCTGCGTGCCTAATACTGATCGAATTATTAGTTTGGTTTATGTGATTACAGCAAAGCCTCGAGGGCTATCTGTCTAAAGGGAGGGATGCCTTCGTGGAGGATCTTTTAAGGGAAACTGGTTTGTATAAGCGTTACACATGGGGAAACCACGAAAATGCCCATGCAGCCAATCCGTTTGCGGTATTCGAAACTCGAACAGAACTACCAGGGTTCAGCGACTTTACCGCTCGTTCGCTGGTGGGCGTAACGTGTAATGGAAGCAACCTTCTAGCATTTAATATATTATGGCATACGGATAGTATACTGTTTAGACTTTTGTTTTACGAGGTTATAAAAAAAGTTAAATTTTATATTGCAAAGTAACTCTCTTAAAAGACTGAAATTATTTTCTTAAAATTCACAGCCTCCTTTTGAGAAGCATCTTACGCGGAAGTACATATCTAAGAACATCATTTAAGGAAATAAAGCCAGCAGCTAAATTTATGAACAGTCTGGACATTACTAATTTGTGTGATTTTTCAATTATCGGTATAGAGTAAGGGTTTAAAGGCGTAAAAATGCGTTCATATATGCACACAGTTATTAATATCGGATTCAAGACATCGATCTAATTGAAGATTATTAGTTTAGGAAATTATTAATTCGAAATAATAACTTAGCATGAAATACAGTAATTGTTTTGTGAGAATTGTATGATTTTAAAGTTACAAAAAAAAGACTGCGTTAAAATCACTAATTATTCATGCCCTTCAGTAGCTATTAGAAATCAAACACAATAAAACTCTGAAATTTATCATATTTAACAAGTCATCTTCAATAACAACAAGGGATAGTTATGCTTCAGATGAATAATAATTAATACAGATGTATGCTATTTTTGCTATTTAGAATACCGGCGAGGACATTGCTCATTTTTCATATCTCATGCTTCCCTCCTCGAAAAAAAAAAAACCCTAATGACTGCACACCATTGTTACGTAGAAAACTGGATGAGACTAAATGGCAATGACTGCACACCATTGTTACGTAGAAAACTGGATGAGACTAAATGGCAAATATAATGCATCAAAACATTGCATAATAGTTACGTAGTATACATAAATTTGTCTATACTACATAATTATTATGCAAAGTTAATATAACTGACAAATATTAAATTATGGTACCAGAACACCAACATTATAATAATAAGCATAAAAATAATAATTGCTTATGTGAATGCTTTATTGTACATTTATAGGAAATCTCTTTTTCTCGTACGTATCAAATTTTGCTTCTCGATATTGTACGTGTCATAACTAAGACGATACGTAAAAGAAAGAAAATAATGTCTGTATAATATAATATACAATAATTAAAGATATTATTTTACATCAAATCATCGCATAAGCAATCGAATTTCCGCTGAGGCATGTTTATTTGTGGAACTAACCGGGAAACGCAATACTGAAAGCATTTGGATCGTTTTATTTCCCACGTTTGTGTATTTTGAATTTTGCGTGAGTTATTTAACTAACAGACATGTCATTTTACCAAACTAAAAACACATTTTTAGACCTCGAATTACTAAAATCATGGTTACGAAACCAGCGGATATTAAGGGCATTTATTTAGATAAAGCAATCTTCGCATCTGAAATCAGAATCATTACATTAGTTCCCAATATTTTTCACTGCGGATTTATTTAATTCTGAATATGAAGGATACAGCTCAGATAAATGGATTGTCAAAGAACATTGAAACAGGAAAAAGGATTAGAGACCACTTGTACAATAGATCTAACGAAAGAAAAAACTAGAATTTGAAAATAGGTAAAACTTCTTTTCTTTTACAGGTAATTCTATTGATTTAAATTTTTTCACATTTGGATAAAGAAACATTTAAATACTACTTAAAATTTAAGATATTTCTTAGTAAAACCATTATTAAGTTACTAGAATAATCATTGATAAAATACAAGCAGATAACTCTAGCGAAATGAAATCTTGAAAGACAAACCTGGCAACAAAACCAGCCGGAGAAGAAGATTTACGACCATGGATATTCGCTAATCCTTCGAATAAGTGCCATCAGAAACTCGAGCGACCTCCCTCTCTTCCGTCTCTTGATGCTGTGAGCTGAAGTTATTCCCAAAGTTTCGGGCAGGGTAGGAAATTCAACTAACGTGAGCATTGAAAGGACGCATGCGCTGGGAATTCCGGTAACGGGTTTTGCTCTCTAGAGAATGATGCTTAAATATGTATTTGGAAGAGGGTTGGAATAATAATAGGCTTTGATTAAAAAAAGTCTCAAAAAAGTAATTTTATTTATTTATAAGTATAAAAAATGACCCTTAAAATATAATTTCGTGACAAATTGCGTGAAAAATTATGCAACTGATACTTTGATAATGCTTTTTCATGTCATTCTCAGGAATTCTTCACAAATGACCATCTGTATGTAAAAAATGCATATAATACAGACTGATACAGCACACCGGCATCGATTTTAATTTATTCTTCGAAATTAAGAAATATTGAAAGAAATAAAAAAACTCATAAGGTATTCCTCCCGCCTTCTTGGCATGCCTTCGTGATGTGGTAGTCTGCTGCTTCCAAAAAATACCTAATGTCTCTACAGTGGCGCCCTAACTAAAAAAAGGGTGCTGGATGACGATTCTCCACACCAATGATTTGCCGATTGGGTCCCCTTAAAACCACAGTTGCCCTTTAAAAGGGGGAGTATGTAAGATATTCCTCCCTCCTTCTTGGCATGCCTTTGTGGTGTGGTGGTCTGCACGCTGGGCGCGTATTCCAGAGGTCCGTGGTTCGATTCCCTGCGAAGAAGTTGCACATTTTTCACTTTTCCTGCTTCCAAAAAATACCTAATGTCTCTACAAACTAACCGCTTCTTATTGAAAAACGATTAAAGACAAAGCATCATTTGATATAAATTACTTTCATTGCATATTGGTTAATCTCAAATTACTGAATTTAAAGTAAAATTTACGGAACATTAAAAATTATAGGAAAATTATATCCCCTGTGTTGGAACAATCTTTTCCAGTCTGGTATATGGTGACCTCTGAGGTCTCTATATGGCGACAGGCCTCACCTCTTTGATTCCCCGGAATTCGTAAACTGTCTACGTCTTTTTGACTTGACTACGTATTTTTGTCTGTTTTAAACATAACTAGAGTAGAATGTACTAATTCTACTGTAGTAAACATAAATATAGTAGAATCTCATGCAGCCTGTGTGCCTATGTGGCTGAAAATGTTGCTCTTGCTAGGCTATAACCATGAAGTCAGACTTGTAGATCTGACAGATATTAATTTAGAACTTTAAAATGTTATAGAGTAACATGAAAATATTAAATACCCGCAGAATATAGTTGAACCAATAATACAGAATAACGCAGAGAATGGTACAGAAGGACAGAAGTACATTAAAACCCAATGTACGAATGCCTGAGAGTACAAATACGAATGCCTAACAGTATTCGTAGAATACAATTCAGTATAAAAGCGATGAGAGAGATTAGGAGAAATAGTAATACCCTTTGATAGAGTGATTTACAGTTGAATAAAAGGCAATTCATGTTGCACATAAATTTACACACGGGAAAGTAGGTAGTCGTAATGAAGCTTCGTAATGAAGCGTAATGGCTTCGAATCCCGGAGAAGGCATGAATGCAAATTGTTGGTCCCTTCATAGGCGGCAACAATAACCGTGGCCTCCCAAGTTAGTTTGATTGGTTGTTTGATGTCGTATCTTTTGAGAAGTCAAATGGATCCATGGGTGGAAATCATTGCTTTTGCCAGTTCCACTATCTTTTCACTATACAACTCTCCCTGGAAAGGAAATTCCCCCAAGTATGGCCGAACAGGTGGAGATGTGCTCTGGCGAAAGCTCCGTTTTGAGACATTTCTACAAATTCCATTGCACACGGAAATTAAGGACTTTTAAGGACCATTAATGAAAAAAATTAAGGACCTATGAGCAAATGGGAACTGAATAAATTCAATTAAAAATATTATTTTATGCCTGAATTTCACTTTTGTAATACCATCCTAAAAATAAAATAGATCCCTGAGCAGTATGCATTATTACTAAACATGAATTAATTATGAAGGAAGAAAAGTTACATTTCTGTCACAAAAATATCTTCCAACTCATAGTAGTTTACATTATAACGCTCGGAACTCTTTTCAGATTCTACTCCTTGTCGAAAACCTTGCAGACTCATGCAAAATTTGAAGTTTATAGAGTTTACATAACGCACCTCTGATCCAACAGATACGCCTGATTTATGAATTATATATGTTAATGTTAAGATGACTCAGTCCCGGCTCCCATTTATTGGCTAATCCTAACAACGTTATTTTGTTTTTTACAGTTTAAACAATCTGTATAAAGAACTTAAGTTATTACGATTGAAAGAACACCTTATTCTGTTAAAGAACAAATATACGATTTAGAAAGATTTTTCAATGTATATTTTGGTTAAATACTCCATTTTGTATTAAAGCCCTTTAAAAGCTGTATTTTATTTAAGTACTTAGAATAAATATTCTTAAGAAATGAGCAGCTCCGGTAAGACAGCTTCCCCGCAAAGCGGGATTAGGGTTGCCAGAAAGTGGCAAGGAAAGGCAGGGTTGATAGATTTTTGTCGCCAAATGGGCGATTTCGCGCCAAAGCTTGAGATCACCCGAGCCGAGTCGGGAGCTGTGCTTTAGTGCTTTGCTGTGAATTTGTTTTCACCCTTGTAGCCTGAAGGCTGTGTTGCTGATTGTTTCAGCGTGTTTGCCGTAGTTTTCGACGACAGTAACGTGTCCTTGGAACTCTACTACTATGCTATTGAACTCAACATACTATCGATGGTCTCCTACTCCGCGTACAGGCAGTGTGTATATAGCTTTTGATCTGCCTTCGAGAACATTCTCGGGAAAACCGGTAAGAATTCACTCTAGAATTGTTCTAGTGCCGTCTATGACATATCGCCTATTTTCGCCATATGGGCGACTTTGGGCCATAGCTGGCAACCCTGCATTTTTTGACACTTTCTGAAAAACCTAACCTCGCTTTGCGAGGAAGCTATCTTACCACAGCTGGGCTTTTCGTAACGATATAAAAAAAAAGAACCTTTTTGTGTTGTGTGAATGAAATGTCTTCCATAGAATATTAATTCTTGAAATATGGGTTTCTGAAACGTGGTCAATTGCAATTTAGTTTGAGAAGATTTTTTAACTATCTTATTCGTTGTATTACAGTTTGTGTACGTATTATTTTCACAAAATTTGCATACTATTTTTGAAACTTCCAACGGTCAAAATGTATCAGAGAGCTAAAAGAAAAGAGGAAGTGGAAGAAAGATTAGCTATTAAACAATGTAATCTCGGAAAAAAAAAAAAAAAAGAAATATTTGAGCTCGAGAAATTTGAAAAGCTGTTTTGAACTTGGAAAAACTCAAGTTAAATTTATAAGCTCAGAAACAGATTTCCCAACGGAACCTATTTCTTTGCTGGCCGCTAACATTCCGAACTGAGAATTCAATAAATTAATCACTTGTTTCCATCCCAAAAATGATGATATGAGTCTTAATTTAAAACTATTTGAACTTTTTAAAAATAACAAAAATAAAAAATTGGGTAGCGTATTTAATTGGGATATTACCCACTGATGTCCCGAACTGAATTGCAAGAGAATCAGAAGAGGAATGTGTTGACAAGATGAAGTAATGCTATTTCAAGGTATCGTTGTAAATGTGTCAACGTAAGGACGTTGACGAATGTATAACGTAAAGTTGTCCTGTCAACCTAACGTTACAACGTCTACATGTTGTAAATGTTATCCATACGATGAAACTATGCTACTGAAAAGATTTGTACTTAGGGCTGACCAAGTTACACAATTGTTTTTTCAAGGGACAGATTTCAGAATTAAAGAGAATATTTTCGATAAATTGAAAGCCTAATTATTGTTGATCAAATCAAAATGTGAGCTTTGATTTGATGTGAGATCAAATGTGAGTATAAAGATCGCTTTATTGATGACTGAACTGACTGGAATTCATGTAATGAATAGGGCAAAAATGGATGCATTCGAACATGTAAGAAATACCAGGATAAAGAATGTTATTCCATCCAATTTAAGAGAACGTTTTGAGAGAAGAGGAAAAATCTCCAATCATGGCTTCGCAAAAACGAATTAAAATTCACCCAGAAATACTAAACTGGGACCGGAGATAAAAGCGTAACGCCCGACTTTAAGGGGTATCAGCAACCCCTGTACCGACAATGTTAAATTGGCCATTTTCGATGTACCTTTTCTAAAAATCTGCTGTAGATACACGCTTGAAATTGTTTTTGTAGTTAAAGTATACCTATTTGATTATACTGAAATGAGCTTTTGAAACATTTTGAATTTTAGAGTAATTTACAGAATATTTTGTTAGGCATAGTAAAATTTAGCACTTTTCTCTCTCTCTCTCTCTCTCTCACCACACACACACACACAAAAAAAAAAAAAAAAAAAAAAAAAAAAATTCTAAGTTTTTCACAAAAAGCTTCTTTCAGTAAATATTAGGAAACCTAATAAATAAGCCATAAAAATTTTAGATACCTCTGAGCAGTAGTTCCTGAGAAAAGGTACATCGAGTATAAAAAAAATCACCTTTGGAGAAAAATGCTTTTTTATGTAAATCCTCATTTATCAAAGCAGTCGATGACAAATTAAAACTAGATTTTTTACAGTTCTAATTTTCATAGAGATTAAAGAATGGTATTTTTAGAAAGATAAAAGTGTAGAGAATTTGAAAATGCAAAAATCCGAAATCACAATTTTTTGAAGATTTTGGGGTTCCAACACCCCTTAACATGTTATGAATGCGGTAATCTTGATTAAGAAAAATGCTTTAAGTGCAACAGTCCAGTCGGGGCCGGGGTTAAGATGCATGAAAAGATGTAGTAAGCAACAATCGATCGTTGCGAGGAGGAAATATATTCTCTTGATGCAGAATGATTATTTTCTCAATTATTCCTATCCTTTCCTCCTCTATACTGGGTTTCACGCTGCGTGTTAAGATGGAATGATACTACCTTTTATAGCTCTGATAGTGTGATATTTAGCCACAAA